TGAACCAAAGGACAGGGATGACAGCCAAGAACTACTGCCAGCCGTATATTTCCAGATAGACATCGCCTACAGAACCCGCTCTGACGTCTACTGATCCAGCCTGAGTCTGGGACAGGCACGTCACTACATTGCGGAGGGTGGAGGTAGCGGGGCGCTGAACACACAAGGACAGCACTTCCCGGTCGGATCGGCGCTCCGATAGTCGGGTCTGGCTGTCCACGTGCGGCGCACAGAGGGGAAACCGGAAGTGGGTGCACAGAGCAGGCGATGAGGGCTGGAAGTAGCTGTTTGCCAGCTTCTCCTGTCGTGTGTGTGGGGTGGTGATTCCCCATAGATATCTATAGGAGGGGGCTCTGTGCTGTCATCGTCGTCTGTCACACGGTATGATGTTCCTCGTAGATCGGGGTTTGTGTGTACCTGTATTACATGGGGGGGCTGTGTGATTTAATTCATGGTATACGGCTTGTTTTATGGGGAACCTTATTCCATCTACTTCACAGAAAGGAGAAAGGGCCCCATACCCTGGGTTCAGTGGGATCAAATAAGTGCCACAGAATAAAGCAGTATTAAAACCAAAAGCAAAAATGTAACTCATTGCACCTTGCCAATCATTAGAGCGCTTGTATTCTCGGCCATTTGAAGGCACAAGGTTACATCCACATGGCTGTAAACATTTTATGAGCAATTTGTTGTAGCACAAATGTTCCCGAGCAATGATCAGTAAATACTTGGATAAAACTGACTTTTTTCCCCCAATCCGTGCATTTGGCATACAGTGAAGAAAATAAGTATTTGATCCCCTGCTGATTTTGAATGTTTGCCCACTCACAAAGAAATGATCAGTCTAAAAATGGAATGGTAGGTGTATTATAACACAGAGACAAAATAGCAACAAAAAAATTCAAAAGAAATGCATGTCTAACAAATTATGCACTGATTTGCATGTTTATGAGGGAAATAAGTATTTGATCCCCTTCACAAAACATGACTTAGTGTTTGGTGGCAAATCCCTTGTTGGCAATCACAGAGGTCAGATGTTTCCTGTAGTTGGTCACCAGGTTTGCACACATCTCAGGAGGTATTTTACCCCACTCCTCTTGACAGATCCTCTCCAAGTCATTAAGGTTTGGTGGCTGACGTTTGGCAACTCGAACTTTCAGCTCCCTCCACAGATTTTCAATCGGATTAAGGTCTGGAGACTGGCTAGGCCACTCCAGGACCTTAATGTGATTCTTCTTGAGCCACTCCTTTGTTGCCTTGCCCATGTGTTTTGGGTCACTGTCATGCTGGAACACCCATCCACGACACCTTTTCAATGCCCTGGCTGAGTGAAGAAGATTCTCACCCAAGATTTGATGGTACATTGCCCCTTCCATTATCCCTTTGATGCGGTGCAGTTGTCCTGTCCCCTTAGCAGAAAAACACCCCCAAAGCAGAATGTTTCCATCACCATGTTTGACAGTTGGGATGATGTTCTTGGGGTCATAGGCAGCATTCCTTCTCCTCCAAACACGGTGAGTTGAGTTGATGCCAAAGAGCTGGATTTTGGTCGCATCTGACCACAACACTTTCAACCAGTCCTCTGCATCATTCGGATGTTCAGTGGCAAACTTCAGATGGTCCAGGACATGTGCTTTCTTGAGCAGAGGGACCTTGTGGGCACTGCAGGATTTCAATCCTTGCCGGCGTATTGTGTTACCAATTGTTTTCTTGGTGACTGTGGTCCCAGCTGCCTGGAGATCATTGACAAGATCCTCACATGTAGTTCTGGAATGATTCCTCACTGTTCTCATGATCATTGACATTCCAAGAGGTGAGATCTTGCATGGTGCACCAGACCCAGGGAGACTGACAGTTGTTTTGTGTTTCTTCCATTTGCAAATGATTGCACCAACTGTTGTCATCTTCTCACCAAGCTATTTGGCGATAGTTTGGTGGCCCAGTCCAGCCTTGTGTAGGTCTACAATCTTGTCCCTGACATCCTTGGACAGCTCTTTGGTCTTTGCCATGGTGGAGAGTTTGGAATCTGATTGTTTGATTGCTTCTGTGGACAGGTGTCTTTTATACAGGTAACAAAATGAGATTAGCAGCACTCCCTTGCTGAGACTGCTTCTAATCTCAGCTTGTTACCTGTATGAGAGACCCCTGGTAGCCAGAAATCATGCTGAATGATGGGGGATCAAATACTTATTTCCCTCATGAACATGCAAATCAGTGCATAATTTGTTACATGCATTTCTTTTGAACTTTTTGTTGCTATTCTGTCTCTGTGTTACAATACACCTACCATTCGATTTTTAGACTGATCATTTCTTTGTGAGTGGGCAAACATTCAAAATCAGCAGGGGATCAAATACTTATTTCCTTCACTGTATGTGAATATGCGTGTCCTCAGACAGATGTTTGGACTATTACAGAGATGAGCACAGTGCATGTTTACACACCTGTGTGAATGTCTCCATTGAAAGCAATGCAGCGGAGTTGAGATCCATAAATAAAATTGTAAATTCAGTTTTCACAGCCATGTGAATGAGGCAGAAAAATAAAAATCAGTGTAAATATGCTATAATCTTGTGCTGTTTGAATGTAAATCCTTGATTTAAAGCAAAACTAAACCCTGCTTTCCTTTACAGCCAAGGAAGCTGCCATCTTTGCCATGGTGCTGCATGTGATTGGTTATGACACCAGGTAGTGCAAAATAATCGCGTAGGAAGAATCCTACACACAAAAAGGAGGTCAATTGCAGCTATGGACAAATTGGACATACAAAAATAGTATAAACCTAGTACATAATAACGCTGACTGCAAAAAAAAAAAAAAAGACACCTTCACCATCCACAACAAAAACTGACAGCTCTTTTTTGTAGTGAACGTTATTATGTATTATGTTTATACTATTTTTTGTACATCCAATAAAATTGTGTCCAATATGTCCTTTTTTGGACCCCTTTTTGTGTAGGATGCTTCATACACGGTTATTTTGCACTACTAGGTTACCTGGCCCCGAGGACACCACCTAGCATTTACCAAGGTGAATCGGTTGGACTATTTCTTATACTAGCAGTGGTTCCCATTGTTGAAGTTTTACACCAGTTATCACACCAATTATTTGATAATTTGACAGTTTGGTTGTGAGTACAAGCAAATGTGACAGTTAGCATTCCTGGCATGCCTTTAATGTAACTTTTTGAGAAAACCGTGAAACTAAAACCACTGATTAAAATGGAACTTAACCCTTCTATTCTTTTCATCCACGGAAGCTGCTATTTTAGCCTCTGTTTGATCTTCAACTGTCATGGTGCTGCATGGTGATCAGTTATGAGACCAGCCATTTGATGGTCTGACAGTTTGGTTGAGAGCACAAGCAGATGTGACACATTCCCGGCATGTAAGTAATGTAGCTGCTTTTTGAAAACGTTAAAGCGGGGTTCCACCTGAAAGGGGATGTTTTGCTTTAATGCTTTGACCCCACTCCCCATTAAGGATTGGCACCTATGGGAAGTGGGTACCCGACTTTGACAGGTACCCGCTCCCGCTTCGATCGCCTAGGCGATCGGAAGTTGTCCTCCCTCCCTCCCCATAGTCTTCTGGGACAGGTCCCAGAAGGCTACAGGGCCATTCACGAAGTGCAGCACTTCTCGTGCATGCGCAGTGGGCACCCGGCTCTGAAGCTGCAAGCTGTCACAGCCGGGTGACCACACTAAAGATGCCAGGGAGAGAAGACAGCCGGTCAAACCAGTGGTGGTGAGGACACCGCTGGACCGAGGGACAGGTAAGTGGCTGTATTTTAAAAGTCAGCAGCTACAGATTTTTTTTTTCAGCTGAAACTCCGCTTTAAGGTCCAATTCACACAAGTGCGTTGATCTGCATTTTACCACAGCTGTAAAATGCAGCTCAATGGAAGGATATCTGAAAAACAATCATTTCCAATGTGTCCTATTGACATCCTACGCTATGTTGATGTTTGTTGTGCTAAAATGCAACATGTAAGCATTTTAGTGCAACGGATATAAGTATATGTCAACACAGTGCACAGGATATCTTGTGAAAATGCAGTATGCTTTAACACGCGTTAAAATGCATGTCAACTGCTGTCAACGTAACACTAAAATGGATGGAAAAGTACATCCATTTTCCATACATTTTAGTGCAATTCAGTGAATTGGCCCTAAATGGACAGGTTTAGTTCTGCTTTACCGTTAAACCGTTAAATTCAAGGCACAATGTTAATAACAGTCACAGTTGCTTTTTCTCTCACCTGCACTGTCAAGCCATCAGATGGCTGGCGTCATAACTGTTCACATGTTCAGTATCATGGTAACTGCAGACCAAACAGACGTACTATCCTTTACAGCTTTCTTTACTTCTACTTTACGGATGAATTCCAGGTAAAATTATTATTTTCCCATGCAGTGGGATTGTGCCCGGACTGCATGGGTTAAATGCTGCTTTTGTCTAGGGGCTCAGAAAGCAAAGATATACTTACGTAATCCACATATCCTCCGAGTGCAAGGCTGGTCTTTGCTGCTCCTGTCCCCACATGCTAGCGGTCTTATGAATGGGCTGTTCCTGACGTCATCACACCCATACACCAGCTCCGTATGAGAGGACAGCAGGAACAGTCCTGCATGTGGAAGGAGTGTGGTTTTCCGGAGAATCGGTTAAGTACAGCTTTTTCCTGAGCCCCTGGACAAAACGAGCACTTAACCCATGCAGTGCAGGCACAGCCCCGCTGCATGGGAGAAATAACATTTTGACCAGACTTATGCTTTAAATCAACAGGTTTAACTCCACTATAAAGCAAGATACCACATTTGACCACTACATAGGGAATTTACTATATACTCAGTATAAATGATTGTCGTTCCTATTCTATCCTTATAACGCATAGATGCATCATCCAGTCATTCCCATATTGTATTGTTATTGCTCCTGGCTTAAATGATGATATTGTACAGATCATCCGTATCATATCATGACAACACTTGCTTTATTTTCAGATGGCAATGGCTTCTCTAGCCAGTAAGGATTCCTACCTGCAAAGTCTGGGCAGAAAGGTTTGTGCAAAAGAAGTTACAGAGCATCGCAAACGCAAAATAGGTGAGTCATTCTACCAAACATGAGTTCACATTGTCTGGGCCATTGTGAGCTCCCAACTACTGTGTCGGACATGGAACCCATTACAGTGGACAAGAGACTTTTCTTCATGTCAGTGCTGATACTTCAATGGTGGTGGAGATGGTTTAATTTTAAGGGGAATTATAGTTTATATCATGTGACGTTCAGGTAATACAGAACACTGGAACTCCCTATTTGTAATGTATATATTGTCATACAGTGGAATGTAAAGATAATGGTGGAGAAATCCTCACCTGAGCAGCCCATACATTACTCACTTCATTTATTAATTTAACCAACGAGTTGAATAGAAAAAAAAAAAGACCTGATTTTTTTCCCCCGATCTATCTCTAGTGTGTGCTCCTACTGAACTTTTGTGTTCCTGTGTATCTGCACTCTTCTCTACAGCTCTTCAGAGTACAGAATTTACACATCATTTCTGAACTTTCAGAAAACAGTGGGCAGGGAGCTGCTTGGAGGGAAGGGACACACCCATCCCCTTTTTACCTCTTGGTATCAGGAAAAACATGTCAGAAGTGACTCACATGGATAGTAGAGGAGCCAGGTAGCAGATTTAGTGCTGTGGATAGAGACAAGTACACACTATAGAGGGATATGCTTTGTTTATATTTCATGTCTGAAGTTTACAACCACTTTAATATCAAACAGGACTGCTGCTAACCATTAACATACCAACATGCTTAGTCACAAAACTCAAGCAGTAATATCATACACCAGCCAAATAACCGTTTCCCAACCAGTCCCCCCAGTGACAGGAGAGGATACACTCATACAAGGTTACGCTCATTGGCCAGATGTTTTCTGCCAAAAGATTTGTCACCAATCCAGAGCTCAGGTGACTGAAGATCTGCCCAGCAGCTGAGGTATATCCTCCTAGCAGACAGCTTGTAACCTGAAACATAAAACATCCAGTAAAGCAGCCCCAGAGAGACATGGCCTTATTCACCACAGCCCTCTGTTAGGAATAGAATTCATTTAAAAACAAATTGGTTCTGGGGTGACAATCCTATGGGCAGCTGCTTTTCTTTTTTTTTGTTTTTTTGAGACCCTAACTGTTTGTCTTCTGACTAGTACATACAAGCACCTTTTCTGTCTTTAACGGTGCACATCTTCCCAATACACGCAGCTGTTCGGAGGGCTGCTCAACAAGCAACGTATCCCTCGGCAGAGAGCAGGACAGGCTAGACAATATAACACTGAACCCCAGCAGCGGCCACCCTAGGCCATTAATACTCTGTGCACAGTGCCCTCTTCCAAGTCCAGCTGAGCTCAGCTAGAGGAGACAAGAGCAGCCTGCAGTGGGAGAACGTCCTGCATACAAATGCAGTTTGAAGGGCCCAGAGTGGCTGCTGGGGGTCACATGATAGTAATGTCCTGTAGACAGCAGGACAAGGGGGATTAAAGCACCAGCAGTTTTTGTGGTGTGGCCAACAGCTACATGTGTAATGGGAGGATGTGCACCATTTAAAACAGGAGGCACACTAGTATGTGCTGTTTAAGAGCATATGTAATTGCATAGGGTGATTTGGGGGGAATTTTTCAAAGTTGGGGATATTAATGCTAATATGCCTCCCACAGCATATGCTGTTGATGGCACTGAGAAGCGTACTACTGGGAAGAAGAAAAAGCGGAATCGAAAGCCACAGAACCTCAGGCACGATGGCAGCATGCAGAGATTTCCTCCCAAAATGTCTAATCCTATCTTCCCAAAATCCCAGAGGAAAGGTAAGAAATTAAAAGAACTGTGCCAGGCCTCCCTCATCTCTCCCCTGTGACTGGTCTGAAACTTTTATTGAAGTGAACTTTTCATTGATGGAGTCTTTCTGGAAATGCTATTTTCCCTGCTGATCCAGATCATGCATGCTTTGAATGAGTGTCAGACGTGTCCGAATTCTATATACACTGCTCAAAAAAAATTAAAGGAACGCTTTTTAATTCGAGTATAGCATCAAGTTAGTTAAACTCCTGGGATTTTGATCTGGTCTGTTTAGTAGTTGAGGGGGTTTTTAATCAGTTTCAGCTGCTTTGGTGTTAATGAAATTAACAACAGGTGCACTAGATGGGCAACAATGAGATGACCCCCAAAACAGGAATGGTTTTACAGGTGGAGGCCACTGACATTTTTTTCCCTACTCATCTTTTATGACTGTTATTCACTAGTTTTGCATTTGGCTAGGGTCAGTGTCACTACTGGTAGCATGAGGCGACACCTGGACCCTACAGAGGTTGCACAGGCAGTCCAGCTCCTCCAGGACGACACATCAATATGTGTCATCGCCAGAATGTTTGATGTGTCTCCCAGCACAGTCTCAAGAGCATGGAGGAGATTCCATTAGACAGGCAGTTACTCTAGGAGAGCTGGACAGGGTCGTAGAAGGTCCTTAGCCCATCAGCAGGACCGGTATCTGCTTCTTTTGTGCAAGGAGGAACAGGATGAGCACTGCCAGAGCCCTTCAAAATGACCTCCAGCAGGCCACTTGTGTGAATGTCTCTGATCAAACAATCAGAAACAGAGTTCATGAGGGTGGCCTGAGGGCCCAACGTCCTCTAGTGGGCCCTGTGCTCACTGCCCGGCACCATAGAGCTCGATTGATATTTGCCATTGAACACCAGAATTGGCAGGTCTGCTACTGGCACCCTGTGCTTTTCAGAGATGAGAGCAGGTTCACCCTGAGCACGTGACAGACGTGAAATAGTCTGGAGAAGCCATGGAGAATGTTATGCTGCCTGTAACCTAATTCAGCATGACCGTTTTGGTGGCGGGTCAGTGATGGTCTGGGGAGGCATATCCATGGAGGGTCACACAGACCTCTACAGACTAGACAATGGCATCTTGACTGCCATTAGGTATCGGGATGAAATCCTTGGACCCATTGTCAGACCCTATGCTGGTGCAGTGGGTCCTGGGTTCCTCCTGGTGCATGACAATGCCTGACCTCAGGTGGTGAGAGTATGCAGGCAAGTCCTGGAGGATGAAGGAATTGATACCACTGAATGGCCCCCATGCTCACCTGGCCTAAATCCAATAGAACACCTCTGGGATATGTTTCGGTCCTTCTGACACCGCCAGGTTGCACCTCAGACTGTCCAGGAGCTCAGTGATGCCCTGGTCCAGATCTAGGGGAAATACCCCAGGACACCATCCATAGTCTCATTAGGAGCATGCCCTGACGTTGTCAGGCATGCATACAAGCACATGGGGGCCATACAAACTACTGAATACCATTTTGAGTTGTTGCAATGAAATTCCAGCAAAATGGACTAGCCTGCTGCATCATTTTTTTACGTTTGATTTTCGGGGTGTCTTTGAATTCAGTCCTCTGTAGGTTGATGATTTTCATTTCCATTAACCGATGGGACATCATTACATTCCTAACACATTACCCAGTCCATATCAGTATAGATATCCAGCATGATATTTTTCCTCATTGAGATCTGATGTGTTTTCAAAGTGTTCCTTTCTTTTTTTTGAGAAGTGTATGTCCGAAAAAGTAGATGTACATTTTATTCTACTTTGTTTTAGCATAATCCCATCCCATTTAACAATGACAAGTAATAATTCTGTACATACAAACTTCAAAGAACAATTTTACACTATACAAAATATAGACTAAAACCGGCAATCTGAGAAATAATTTACATTTCTTTTAAACATTGTTCGTACAAGTACCTTAAGTCTTTTTGTTAGCTTGCTATAATCCCCTGAACATCACTTTGTTGCGTATGTCTGATAGAGAAAAGTGAAGTCTTTTACCTGGTAAGGCTGTTTAGCAGGGGTCACTATATCACAAGACTGGCTAAATAGATTAAAATGACCTGAGTTGTGTTTGAAATAAATGTAAAACTCTTCAATTACAGGGCTTTCCCTGTCATTTGCATTTTTTGTGGTTAAAAAAATATCTGAAGCCAAACATATATAAATATTATAGTATGGAAGGGTTAAACCTACTGCTCTGTGTCCCATTGCAGAGTTTTGCATTTATATCTCTCTCTCCAGCACACCAGATGTAAGGAAATCTGTCTAAAGTGAGGAAAATGTTCTATCAGACAGTTGTCACGGCAGAAAGTGTCCCCATTGATAGATTTCTCATTAATTCCTCTTTCAGTGACAACTCAAAAATGTGGATGTTCCCTTACTGGGATAGATAAATAGGGTGAGTCCCTCTAGAAGGAATTCATATACCGAGAAAAAAAACTGACATACTTGATGACCCTTACCTACCCAGTCCAAAAGAAAAGGATTTGCTTCAGATACACTGTCAACTTGCCTATTCAGGTTAGGTTCAGCGGACCTTGTGAAAGAATGCTTTCACTTTGATGACAGTCACTCTATAAGAGATAATGTTATGCATTATCTGCAAGCCACATTTGTTGGTTTGGAAAATATTTGCGGATTCCCTATAGTTCTGAGCTTTAGACGATTATGACCCAGTGAGGGGGAACTGCCTGGGGTGGTATTAATGTTCTGATTGGGCTTTTAAGAAGCCCTTTGTGTATTGCCATCTGAGGAATCTATCAGGCATTGAAATGACAGAACTCTGGTGTTTTAGTTGCATCTGTCATGCAATTTTTATTCATACTTGTTTTTCCTTTGTAGATACCCCTCTGAGCTCCTTTTCCACAGTGAATATATTAAAGAAACGATTACATGAGAAGATTGAGGAGTCACGTGGACAGGTGAAGGCACAGTACAGACTTCATACATATAATATTATATAAGGGTTACTATATGGAAAATGACAGGATTCATTTTAATGCTGTAGGCTTCAGTTTTTTGCTTCCTTTAGGGGTAATCACAGAATCCCAACACTCTGATATTGCAAGAGCTTACCATGGACCACACAGGTAAAATTTCCCTAGTGCAGACACTACTGAGAATCTAAAGCCGTCCCCACTCCATCCAAAGCAAAAGTTTTGGCTGTAGTTTTACTTTAAAGGATAAGTTCACCTTTGGGAACATGTTACATGTTTCACCTGTCTTTAGAGTTAAATGTGTAACATAATCACACTGCTACAGCCGCTGCCAGCTATCCTCTTTCCCTGTGATGGCAGTACAGGGAGAAGTTCCCTGTACTAGCTGTCACTTTTTGAAAACAGCACTCCATTTTCAATTAACTACTACGGAGATGTTGATCAATGTGGTAGTTCACGGAGTCACCTTGTCACTGTAAAACTGTCTGCCCATATGTGCGGCACACAGTCTGCAGGAGACCTGCATGCCACCATAAAAAAATCGTAAATGCACATTTTTTTTTTTACCTGCAAAACAATGTGCATTTATTTATTTTAAATAAACCTATCCTTTTAAGCCTTTGAGTAATTTTTTACTTTTTTTTTTTTTTGCACACATTTTAAAAAAAATTATTTTAGTCCTTAAGATTAGTTGAAAACCCCAATCAATATGTTTTCTCAAAAGAGAGATCCCGGAGAATAAAATATTGGTAGTTCCAATTTTTTATGTCTTCCAATATTTGTGCAACTGGTCATCAAGCTAAAGTTAATTTTAGAACGCAAAACACAATATGTTACGCAATTTTCTGCTAAAATATAAAAAGGTGTGGGTTATGCCGATTTAAATAGTCGACCTAAATTTGCGCATCCCCATGACAAAAGCAACACATTTTGGTACCATAAGCTTTAAAAAGTTCTTACAGGTCATCAATTTTAGAGTTAACTCTGAATAATGGCCCCAGAATTCTTGTTCTCATACCTGCATGTGCAGTAATAGGTAACAAGTGAAGTGCAATTGACATTTTCATACTTAGATGCTCCCGATGCTTGTTTATATTTGTGTGCACGTGGGGGTGGGCGCCCGCCCGCAATTTGTTTTTATTGAGAGTGGGGGGGGGGGGGGATATTTATTTACTTTTTTAGGCTGTCTGTCCTTTATTTTCACCTGGTGATCCAGAGAGTAAATCTGTTTTTCAAAAGAGCAAGCTATCAAGCTGAATATATCAGTTGAAGTGATGAGACAATCCATTTTACACTTACAATTATAAGCTTTTATTTATTCATATTAAACCTTTGTCCCAAAAGGAAAACATTGTTTGCTGTAATTGCTTATAATGTATTAGTAGGAGTTTGGCTTCTATATGTTACTGTATTTAAATCTGCTACTTCTAACACTCCCCTATCCCAAGATTAACAATGCTGCTGTTTAAAGGTGCCCCCTATGCTGATTCATCCAGAGTGAGGGCACACTAATACAGGAGGTATGTTATTGACTAGATCACCAGGTGAAAATAGAAAGAAAATTGATGCAGCCACCACATCTAATGATTGGTAAGGTGCAGTATATTACATTTTTGGTTTTGAGTTTGATACCGCTTTAATTAGTTTTCTTCATTTTAGTTTTGTAGTCTTCAATCAACCTTCAATCGTCTTAAAAGAAAAAAAAAAAATAGAAGCAGTGCATCCTGATCGGTGTAACCTTGGTAATAGCCTGGGAACCAGACCTGGACCCTGCACAGTGGGGATAGCCTGTAATGTTTCTTTAGGCACTGGATCCTGCTTGGCACTGAATGCAGTGCATGTAGTTAGTCAAACGGTGTGATACAGGTCCAATGGCATGGTCCATTTATGTAGTTCCCAGACCCTGAAAACCCCCTCCGGGGTATGCCCACCACGATGGGCAAAGCCTGGACCCAAATAGTAACCAGTGACCTGGATAGTTAAGACATGTTTATCCTGTTATTAGACTGATTCTGTAGCCCTTACAGCAATTATGAGAATTCATGTCTACATAATTTGCAGTACACTTTGTTTACTGAATAGTAGTCCACTTGTGCAAAAACCAGGAAAGCTTTTGAGTTTATTCACTTAAACTTTTCCACCATTCAGAGCTTGGTGTCAGGTGGATGACTAGGTGTTAAATTACACCATAGATCGCTCTATTACTACCATTTCCATCCAAGCACTTTCTGCCGCCTGCTTGCCACAAGGACTTTGCTACAGAATCCTTGACAATCTGATTTGCTGTGTATTTATCTCCAGCCATGCTTACCCCATTTCAGCAGCCTACTCTGAGTACCCCGCAAGGGAATCCCCTTATTGATGGCAAGGAAACTGCAGCAAAAAGAAAACACTCGCTCTGCCCAAGGTTTGCAATACAATCAAACTGCTCAGAGTGACAATGCTTGCACCAGAGCAGAACCCCATTTTAATACTCTCTGCGCCAGACTCTAGTTCTGTCTCTGGCATGCAACAATCGGCTCCTTCATCCCCAATTTCCCTAGCTGAGTTGGAAGTGAATCTGTCTGCTCTAGAAGAGGAAGAAAAAGAGGAGGCTGCAGAGGACATTTAGTTATTTCTAGAGGACGATGTGGAAGGTTTCTCACCTCAAGGATCTTATATATCTGATACCCTGGCTACACTCAAAATGCTTGCCGGTATAGACATGCTTGCTTCTGTTGTGCATAATAGCTTTGGCCTAGTTACACTTGCATATACTTGGTCTTCCCATCCCAAGACATTTCACTGTTCTTGAACAAACAGATTGGTCTTTTCTATTTCAATTTGAGAACTAGTGAAATGATTTTCACTCTTTCGAAAATCATTGTAGAGTGGAAAAATAATTTACTAAAAAGTAGCCTGTTCCGAAAGTACACCCTGTCATTTTCAGTCTTAAACATATGGCTGTGCCCATAGAAGATATTCCATCATTTAAAGATTCTACAGACAGAAAATTTGTCAAAACACAATTCAATCAGCACAACCCCTATCACCACCTTTAAATAACAAAATACATGCTTTGCTGCTTATTCAGATACTGTGTAAGTGATTTCACAACACCTCTTTCAGATAGTACAGCAAATATAGTGTAGGTCACCAATAATATACTTATAAAATCTCTGGTGACTGTGTTACAACACACCACTGTGCTGTATGTGACACATACAATTTTGTCAATCCTCTTCTTGTGCCAAAAGTGCCTCCGCTAAACAGGTGAAAAAACTTGCTCACCTCACTTTTAAGACCTCATAAGTGAGTCAAAATATGCTCATCACTCCATAATGCAAACAGCCGTGTGTAGCTGAAGGATCTTTCTCCACTACTCCTCTCGACATAAAGCAGATCTGCCTTCCCCTGCTTTCACATGTTGTACATTATGAAAACCAAAAACAGAAAAGCAGAACCATAGTGCTCTCTATTTATAAAAAAACTTTATTTGCACCCAGACTAAAAAACACTCACAAGATAAGAAAAACATTCAAGCTGAAAATTATCACTGTCTCGGCTCACCACTGCTATATCCTGGATTATTGCCTAAATGATGTCATGGACTCGGCTTCTCCCATCTATACACATAATGCCTCATTATTGGGCTTCCAGTAGGCCCTACTGAGTTTGGTTTGTTTTCAAGCATGTTTACTACTTGTAAAAATATGTAAATACTTAAAGTGATCTATATACAGCTGTCACATGACCCAGCTCTTTCCCAGTCTGTCTGTAGGGAACCAGTAGCAGGAGGAGCTTCTAGTCCTCTGCTGTTGGTCACATGTTAAAAAAAAAAATGCTTATGGGATACAGAATAAAAAATACCTGTTTTCAAATTCATATACCAACATATATTTAAAATCTGTTTATTTTTTTACAATAACATGGTGTGGATGGATTTCTGACAGTCACAGGCTGCGTCGCTCCTCTCCAGCCTGTGTCTTAGAATAACAGGGAGCTGAAGCCCTCATCAGTTTACATCTAATATCCCATCCCCATTGTATATAGCTGGTTAGTGGGAATGGATGAGGAGGGAGGGAGTCGGTTGTCATTTTCCACTGTGTATACACCCACATGTGTGACTTTATAGTCAGATGGGCTTCTCAAATGTGATAAGGAGGAAATGCTCAGCATAGAAACTCACTGAAACCTGAGCATGTGCAGTTGCTGCCAACACTGCTGTGCAAAATCCCCAACTGCATTGGGGACATGGACAGAAAGAGGAGATAGAGAACAGTAGGATCAACCAGGATTTTTGCAAAATACAGAAAACAAATCCCTCTGAATTAGTATGAACAGCATGTAATAAAGCATTTGATGGTTTTGTTTTTTTCTTATGATGTGGGTTTAGTGACATTTTATAGCGGTATTAAATACAAAAACAATATGTTGAAGGATCAACAACAAACAGTGAGCGCTTTAGAGAGGGAAGCAGCTAGCACAAAATTGGTGACAAGCCATAAAATAAAGTAAATGAGTGCAGTGCTTAAATAAGGTAAATATGTGATGTAAATGAATATATATTGATTGAATTTGTGAATTTATCAGTGGAAAAACTTACTGAAATCTAAAATTACCACTGTAAAGTGAAAAAAACCATTAGTGATTAAAAACAAAGTACTCAGTCCGAAAAGAATGCCCAAAAATAAAAAATGAACACTTCATATACAGTTAGGTCCATATATATTTGGACACAGGCACAATTTTAGTTTTTTCAGGTATTTACCAAAACATATTCAAGCTATAGTTCTATAATGGATATGGGCCGAAAGTGCACACTCTCAGGTTTAATTTGAGGGTATGTACATCCAAATTTGAGGAAGGGTTTAGGAATTGCAGCTCTTAAGAGTAGCCATTCCCGCCTGTTCAAGGGACCAAAAGTAATTGGAAAATTGAATCAAAAGCTGTTTCATGGCCAGGTGTGGGCTACTCCTTTTGTTATTTCTTCATCAAATAAGCAA